TCTCTCTCTCTCTCTCTCTTCCCATTAGAGTTTTATCTTCTTGTTGTTGTTCCACTGATACAAGTATAAGAGGGTGTTTGAGATATACAGTTGAAGATCCGTAGGTGTTCGAGACCCGGTGATCATCTATACGAAGTCGATGATCCACGCGCCCGACGACCGTCGACCGCCGCGACGCAGCCGGAGAACCGCCGCGAGCTACCGCGCGCGCCAGTCCTCCAGCTGCACCGCGCCCGCGACCAAGCCGCAACACGCCACCACCCGCGACACGGCCCGAAAGCCCGACCACACGACCCCGCAACACGACTGCTCCGATCCCGTGACTTGTTCTTGTGTTCATCATGGTCAATCCATTTGAAAATCAACCAGATGACCATAAATTTTAAGCCGTAATTTTTCTACGTCAAACCTTTAGATCCGTTGTGCATATGTTTATGTTTGCTATTGAGTTCGTGATTTGTACATAATGAAATCCTCACAGATCCCAACAAGTTGTGCGTGGGAAGTAAAAAATAAACATATGTTTCTGTCTTTCACAATTAATTTTTTTGGATATTTTAATTCGATTTCAGTTTCTGTTTAAAAATAACAAAATATCCGAATCTGCCAAACTATTTAACCAATATTATCTTTTACATTATATATATAATTCAATTATTTGACCAAATAAAGATTATTTCGGTTCGGATTTACTTTTATTTGGGGTAAAAGGTCGGTCGGCTAATTTTTTTTTTTTTTTAAAAAACTTCGACAGGGTCATTCCCGTCGGCCAGTTCGCTCAATGAAAAAACCCAAAAAGCAGTGCCAGTTCGGTGAAATTGTGATAATGCACAATATTATTAGATGAAATGCACAAGAACATTAGGTGGATTGCACATTAATGCCTGCAAGAATGCACAATAACATATATTACGCGCATTGACTCTGTATGAAATAATAAAAAAATATATTGATACAATATTGTGCCTTTTCATATGTATGTATATGCAATTAATTTATCAATATTGTGCATTATGTTGTTTTGGTCCGAATCTTTTCCGATTATCATAGTTTTACTTTTAAAATTTCGTTTATCTCAATAGGGTTGAACATCAATAACCAACCAAAATAAATGAAGATACTTTTTCATATATTAATTTACATGTATATTATATTTTAGGTAAAAAATATAAATAGTATATTGAACAAAAAAAAATAAAATACTAAACATGTTTTTATAATACAAGTTATAATTTATTTTTGTTATTTTGGTTAATTTGATTAATTGACAAATTAACTGATTATGTCGGCTTTATTTTAATTTGTTTTGGGATAAAAAATCGATTCGATTTTTTGAAAGTTCAACACGATTTTTTTAGTTTTGACATTTAATCGATCTATTTGACCAAACCAACGAATGAACAACCATAGCGTATTGGCATTTTGGTAAACCTGTGTAGGCATTGACGATTCTACGATTTTTGTAAAAATATTGTGGTATATTTATGCATCACTATTCTGTAATTTATGTATCTTTATTATGCAAATTACATATCATTATTGTACAATTTATTTATCATTATTATGCAGGTATTGAATTTTTATTAATTACCCATTACTTCATGTGCTTAATTAAAATATATTTAAATTTAACAAATTGCAATTGAGTCCTTAATACATATCAAATTTACAAACCAAAAAAAAAAAACCACAAATCATTCAACTACTTAGCCCCAATTACTTCAATCGTCGGCCATGTCCACCAGGACCCACCACACTCGACCTTTCTTACTCCCCAACACCACCCTCGTCTCCTTCCTTTGCAACATTGAACAAAAAAAAAAAAAAAAAAAATCAGCCAATCATCCACCTGCTAGAAGACGTGATAGTCCTCTGTCAATTTCTCGTTGAATGTTTCTGCAACCATATCGACGACACCCGGTTGAACGAATGCGGATTTCATGGCTACAGTGGCCATCTGGTGGCACCCTTTCAGGCGGAACCTCACGTGATGCAACCGTTGTTGATGGAGGACGGTGGAGGCTCGACAATGACAAACTGTGGTGGTGTGTGGTGGCCATCTCAATTTGCGTCGTGGCCGTCTCTGGTGGCAGTTGTGGCGGCAGGCGGAGGTGGCTGTTGGCTGTTAGCTGAGTACTTCCCAACAAAATGGACGAGTTGAACGTAAACACCGTCACATTCTTGACATTGTTTGTGCTCTTCCTCTTTCTGCTCAAAGTTCTGATCGTTTTTGGGGTGAAGCAGCCTTGACTATTGTTTATCCAATCAACCGATTACGCTCATCTGTTCTTCGTGATATTAGTCCTTTTGAGAGATTGTACAATCAGAGAGATTGTACAATCAGTCCTCTGATTATACACAACTACGCCCTTTTGGTTGTGTTTGATTTGTTCTTCTCCCATCTCATGAGCGAAACAAATTAGAATCCCGAGCTCGTTTGTGTTGTTTTTTGGGTTATTGTGTAGAACAAAAAATGGTTTAGGGGTTGGGATTCTATTGCTAATCGGTTACGTATTTCGCGTCATGTTACCTTTTGGGTTCATGTCCATTACTTCGGATCTCTTTCCAAATACTTGTCCTGACTCACAGCTCATTGACACGTCTGTCGTGCCTCCGTCTTCTGAAGTTGTTCCACATGCGCATCCTGCAGCGACACTTCCCGTTGAGTCCACTCTTACTCCAGTTCCTTCCTCTACCTTCGATCACCGATGGTTGACTAGTATAAGTCGTCTACATTCTCACATACTTGATTATCATTATTATTCGTCTCATCATGAGCCTAGGTCTTTTCGTGAGGCGAGTGCTAATCCATTGCGGCAACAAACTATGACTGAAGAATTGCAGGCCTTGGAAAAGACTCATACTTGGGATTTGGTGGATCTACCTCCTGGCAAGACTCCCATTGGATGCAAATGGGTTTATAAGGTCAAGACGAATTCAAATGGATCTATTGAGTGCTACAAAGCTCGTCTGGTTGCTAAGTTACTCACATGAGTATGGCATAGACTATAAAGTTACCTTTGCACCAGTAGATCGTCTTGATACTGTCTGTTTGTCGATGGTCTCTTCTGCAGTTAGATGTCAATAATGTCTTCTTGCACGGTGCCTTATCTGAGGAGGTTTACATGACTTCTCCCCCGGGATTCTTGTCATCTGGGAAGTTTTGTCGTCTATGTTAAGCTTTGTATAGCATGAAACAAGCGCCTCGTGCCTGGTATGCCATGTTCAGTTCTGCATTGTTTCAGTTTTGTTTCACTACGAGTAATCACGATTCTACTTTGTTTCTTCGGCGCTCCGCATCTGGGATCATTATTTTGCTACTCTATGTTGACGATATGATCATCACGGGAGATGATGTTATCGTTATTTCCTATTTACAGGACTATCTTCGTCAACGTTTTGAGATGAAGAGTTTTGGCCAACTTCGTTATTTTTTTGGGTCTTGAGATCTTTGATTCCTCTGATGGCTTCTATTTGTCTCAAGCCTAGTATGCCCCTGATCTTTTTGCTCAGGCCGGTCTTACTGATTGTCATACAACTTTTACACCTCTTGATTATGATGTTCGTCTTACTCCACTTGATGACTCTCTTCTTCAGGATCCAAGATTATATCGTCATCTTGTTGGGAGTTTGATATACTTGACTGTCATTTGGTCTGATATAACTTATGTTGTTCATATTGTGAGGCAGTTTATGGATGCTCCAAGAACGACGCATCATTCTGTTGTGTTGCACATCCTCCGCTGTGAAGGGCACTATGCTATATGGCTTATACTTCTCAGCTCGTTCTTCCTTGACTCTTAGCGGCTATTCTGATGCGGATTGAGCTGGAGATCCTACTGATCGTCGCTACATTACTGGGTACTGCTTCTTTCTGGGTGATTCACTTGTCTTTTAGCAAAGTAAGAAGCAAACCTTAGTTTCCAGATCTAGTGTGAGTCTGAGTACCATGCTCTTGCTGATTCCGCCTCCAAGCTATTATGGTTACGTCGACTACTTGCTGATCTCGGTGCACCTCAGTCGTCGTCTACCGCTCTACTTTGTGATAGTCAGAGTGCTATAAATGTCTCATAACGATACATTTCATGAGTGCACCAAGCATATTGAGATTGACTGTCACTTCATTCGGCAACATGTTGCACATGAGACTGTGAAGCTTGTTTCCGTCTCCTCTACAGATCAACCAGCGGATATCTTCACGAAGTCTCTCCTTCACGGTCGATTTTGTTTACTTTTTAGCAAACTCAAGTTGATCTCCACTATGCCACCTTGAGTTTGAGGAGGAATGTTAATTATGTAACATATATTTTTGTATTATATGCTAGATTTAAGCCCAACCTTAGGCTAAAACCCATTCTATATATCATATATATGTGTATATATATCTTTGTGAATAATATATCAGATAATTTTCCCGCATTCTTCCATAACTCATCACCATATTTCTTTAACCAACAAAAAAATGTTAGATTCAATTAAAAAAAAAACAAACCATATGTCCAATCCCACCTAGGTTGTTGGAGGCTTTAGTAAATTTACAAATTTGATGATAATGCCAAATGTTTTTCTTCTATTTTCTCTTTTGTGTTTTTTTTTTTTTTTTTGTCTTTAAAAAATTAAAGGTGCTCTAAAAGGCTCACAAAACCAAGTATAAAAAGCGCACCAAATGGAGCATTTTTGTGACTGACAAAGAATTAATGTAACATGAAATAAAGCCTCACCCCTATGAACTTGTATTCTACTTCCCCCAAACCAAAACCTTTTCCTCTTCTCCACCTTTTTCACTCCCCAACTCTCTTTAGCTTCACACTACTCATCATTATCCATCCGTTTTTCTTTTTTATCCCACCTGAATCATCATCTTTCTAACAGCCAAGCACACGTTTGTAATAACGGGTCTTAAAAGGGGCCTTTCGCCTACATATATAAACCGCCTCTCCTTCTTTACAACTGTTTATTTTTGTTTTATTTCATATTAAAAAAAAAAAAAAGGAGTCAGCATGGTGGTGGTGGAGGGCGGCGGCGGCGTGGTGGGTGTGGCGGTGGTGGTGAGGGAGTACGACGCGAAGAAGGACCTGAAAACAGTGGAGCAAATGGAGAATAGTTGCGAGGTCGGGCCGACCGACCAAATGGCCCTCTACACGGACCTCTTGGGCGACCCGACTTCCAGGATCCGAAACTCGCCTGCTCATCTCATGCTGGCTAGTATTTTATTCCTTTCAACTATACCTAATGAAAGATGATGATGTTAATATAGTAATGATTTGGGAAAGATGATAACAGTAAGGGGAAATGCTACCGAACCATTTCATCGGGTTTCTAACGGTTACAAACTTCGACGAAATGGTTTCGTAAATCATTTCCCAAATAGTAAGTGATTGTACCACACATATATGCGGTGCTGACGTGTTACATGAATTGGGTGTGTGCAGGTGGCGGAGATGGTGGTTGTGGGCGGCGGCGGCGGGGGAGAGGATAGAGTGATAGTGGGGACGGTGAGGGGCTCCATTAAAACCGTCACCTGTGGCACCAAACCACCCAGAAATTCAAATCCAAACTGTAACGACCCACCACTCCCCATCTACACTAAACTCGCTTACATCCTCGGCCTTCGTGTTTCTCCATATCACAGGTATTCTTGTTTTGCTTTTATGAATTTCAAACAAATATCTAGGTTTCCTTAAATGTATTTCTATTTTTACTCCTCTTTTAGCTAGACCAACTAATTATTTCCCACCCCTTCAAATTATTTTATTTGCTTCCTTTTGCTACTGTTTCCATATTTTTGTCACATTTTATTCTTTCTTATATCTTGTTGGATATATACCTGTAGGCCCAATTTGTCCTTTTTCTTCCTTAAAATAAAATAAATTATTCTTCAAATTTTTGAATATTTTTCTTTGGGCATAAATTTGGTGCAGGCGAATGGGAATTGGGCTGAAGCTTGTTCGCAAGATGGAGGAATGGTTCCGAGACAACGGCGCCGAGTACGCTTACATGGCCACCGAGAACGACAACCAAGCCTCCGTCAACCTCTTCACCAAAAAATTGGGCTATTCCAAGTTCCGGACTCCGGCCATCCTCGTCCGGCCCGTATTCGCCCACCGGGCCCGGCCCGACCGCCGGGCCTCGATCGTCCGCCTCAATCCTTCGGACGCGGAAAAGCTCTACCGCCGCCGGTTCGCGGGCACCGAGTTTTTCCCGAGGGACATCGACGCCGTCCTCAGCAACCGCCTGAGCCTCGGCACGTTCCTGGCCGTGCCGGGCGCGTGGCCCGGCGTCGAGGGGTTCCTGGCGGCGCCTCCGGAGTCGTGGGCGGTGGCGAGTGTGTGGAACTGCAAGGAGGTGTACCGTCTGCAGGTGAGGGGCGCTTCGCGCGTGAGGAAGGGCCTGGCGAGGGCCACGCGGGTGGTGGACAGGGCACTGCCCTTCCTGCGGATACCTTCGGTGCCGGACGTGTTCGGGCCGTTTGGGTTTTTGTTTTTATATGGGCTTGGGGGTGAAGGCCCAGATGCGGTGAGGATGATGAGGGCGCTGTGTGGGCTGGCCCATAACATGGCGCAGGAGGGCGGGTGCCAGGTGGTGGCGGCGGAGGTGGCGGGAGGGGACCCGCTCAGGTTAGGGATACCGCATTGGAAGAGTCTATCGTGCGCGGAGGATCTGTGGTGTATCAAGCGGCTGGGGGAGGACTACAGTGACGGCTCGGTCGGTGACTGGACAAAGTCGCCACCTGGACCATCCATTTTTGTTGATCCTAGGGAGGTTTAGCCTTTTTTTTTTTTTTTTTTTTTTTTTTTTTATTTTTTTTTATTTTTTTTTTTTTTTTTTTTTTTCTTTTTTTTTTTTTTTTTTTTTTTTTTTTTTTTTTTTTTTTTAAATTTTCCTAACTTTTAGCGTGTTGTTTTTTATTTTTATGTTTTATTTTGGCTAAACTAGGAATATAACATTGAAAAAAAATGTAGATAAATGTTCCCTTTTAATTTAACGTTCGTTACGTTTTTTTAATTTCTTTTTTTTTTTTCTTCTTTTTTTGCCACATTTTTATGTGGGTCTAACTAAGTGTATATTAAAAAGACTTAACTAAGATATGGATGACCTTTTGTTTTTTAGTGGCTATTGTTTGTTATAAAGGAAGGGTATACCGTCACTCGTTTCGCCTTTTGCACAATAGATGGTGTTTAAGTTGGTTTTAAATTGTTTTTTGTGTGTGATGTGGGATTTTGTTACGGAGAATTGCTACGGTTTCGTTACGGAAACATTATGTCGGGTTTGTAGCCGTTTCATTTAACTGTCGGAGATAATTGATTTGACAGTTACAATTTTTGACGGAATGGTTCCATAACGGGACCGTAGCATATTCTTTTGTTATGTTGTGGCCATCTTTTTCATACTATATTGCAGAGTATCGACATATCATAATATATGAATCACAAATGTGACAGGCACAAATATGTAAAAATTGTGGGTATGTCCATGAAAAAGATGTGTGTTTGCCATCTTTGTTAGTGACTCTGTTTTTTTTAGGTAATAGCTAGTGACAAAACAGAATGGGGGAGAAAACCAGGGGCTCTAATAATTTTGTGAACTGAATAAAAAAAAAAAAATTATTTTTGAGAGCAAGAAAAAATTTGAGGGACCCCTATATATAGATGTCGATACGGTTAGTATTTAAAAAACCGGGCTTAGGCGGTGCATAGACTTTAGGCGGCACCCGAATGGTTTCATTTCGTCTTGAAAAACTGGTTGGGGAAATAGAGTACGCAAACTGTGTTTGAACACAGAAATTCTATATTACTAAATTGTGTTGCAACACAGAGAAATAAATTGCAGAAGCACAAATATTAAAGCAAATATGTCTTCGAGGACCGTCTCACTACCCTTCAAAACTCTTTCATTGATAAATTGGTTTATACGCACAAAGTACAACTTGTACTTACTCGATTCGGACTCATTCCTAGCCTAGCCAACACTATACCCGATCCTATCAATTACTTCCCTGGCCACAAACACGTGAACTTTAAATATAGCTATGGATCCCTCCCTGATAATAAAGTACTTAATCCCTAATCACTCAAAAGTGTTTGTACAATGAAAGCAATGTAAGAACGCTGAACTGATGAGGCTCATCAAACAAAATAAAAAGAATATAAACCTCACAAACATTCAACTGAATCTGATGAATGATGAACTCGATTATTGCGACAACTCTCTTCAATTGATTGTTTGAGTAGGCTTATGTACAATCTCTTTAAGATTATGAGTTTTCACAAGTTTCTCTTTTTCCTTTTAAGAGTCAATTTACTTTTTAGTTGATTCTTTTCTGATATGGACGAATACTTCCTTTAGTTTCCTAGAAGTAGAATTTGTGTATGTGATTTGGATATATTCAGAACTGAGTTTTCAATGAATATCTTGTGTTTACAGACTCGTGTAAGAACACGACTTACTTAAAATAGCCGATCTTCTAAATCTCAAAGATCTTGCGATAAATTTTTCCAAATCCTCCTTAGATATTCTCTAAAACGTCCAGAATTCTGTATGTGTGGACTAGCTTATCCTTTCATTGTATTTGCCACTTATTCCTTGTCCTACAAGAAAAAGAAAATTAATTATAGCATAGAATCAAACTCATTAATGCAAGTGACATATATGATAAGTGAATATGAAAGATATGTATTATGTAATCCTTCTCCTAAAGGATTGTGACTCCATAATACATATTATAATAAATATATACTATATATTTTTAATAATAAATACTAGGACCTTAATTAATTTACAAGTAGATAAAATAGACAACTTCCCTTTAATTTGTTTTACTTGCCTAACAAGAAAATCTTCTAGAAAACACTTAAGTTTTTCGGATGATGCCAAACCAATATTCTTACAGTCTCCCCCTTTGACAATCAATTTGAAAACCGTGTTCCTATAAGATAATCTACAAAATAAATTCAGATCAGGAAAGCAAATATCTATGTTCGAACATAAGGAAGTAACTATTCAAATACCTGCAATGTAAGAACATCAAAACTGTTCCTATGAAAACAACTACGAGGACTATAATCAGAGCAATAAATGCACATCAAACTATCATAACCTAAGTCAAACAGAGTAACCAACTCATCTCCCCCTATCAAAATAGTCAAACAATAAAACAACAAGATATAAATGTTCTTACAACCTGCAGAAACATGTCAAAAACAACATCCAAAAATAATCAGAAGCAAACAGCTAGAGCATTATCCCGACATCCTTAGAGACATCCTATTTCTCCTCCTTTTTAGACTGAAATGCCAAAGGCAAATGTCCCCCTAAGTAAGTGCAATCGAACGAGAAAAAAAAATAAAGCTGACCAAAGACGAAAGTTGTTACTTGAGTTGAACTCTAATCTCTGATGTGTTGTTCTTCTCTTCTGTAGGCCTTTGCCATCAGCCAAATTGTTTCAGAAGTATATTAGAAGATGAAGCAAGAACACAGTTGGTTATAAGAAGAATTCATAGAGAAAGAAAAATAAAAAAAGAGTTCTTATGCTCTGTAGATGAAGATATAAAGTGATGACGTTATGGGTGAAGTTAAAAAGAAAAAAAAACAAGGAAAAGGTTGAATACCATGCAGTAAGAACACCCCTATCAAAACTGAACACACAAGCCCATTAACACACTAACACAAGTGCCTAACTAATTCAAAATTAGGAAGATTCAGATTTTATTATCCAAAAATATATTCCCTCACAATTATTTAATACCCAAGTAATTCATTCATGGAAGGAAATCTTATGAAATATATACCTAGTATGAAAAAAAAAATGCATGCAAAAGACACAAAATCAATAATTTTCATTCTAATCCATATGCGCCAGATTTTGTGAGATGAATTAACCAAACACCGATCTTGTGAAACAAACACACCGGAGACAATGTACGAGGCAGAACAGTGATACAATGCAAATTATATCTCTCCAAAGTATGCAAAAAAAAAAATAATAGAAGCTTTATTATGAAGATGACCACTTATAACAAAATGTTGGAACACTACACAATTAAGTGCAATGCTTGTAAGTAGCTTTCACAATTCACATCGTTTTCAGTTTATGAAGCTCTTTTCACAGTCGATCTTGTAGGAAAAGAGCCATGTGCTAGCTTTATCAATAAATCGTGTGATGGTAGCTCTTATGGCAGAAATAAATAGTCTCACAACATGTAAGAACAGACAAACAACTTCAGTTAATAAGATCTCACCGGATTATACAGAGTTCGAACATCAATCATGACTTTGTGGTGAAATTAATGCAAAATGCAAAGTATGACTAATGTAATAACCTATATGCATACACACAATGCAAAATAATATATATATATATATATATATATATATATATATATATCAATATACAATACAATATAATATAATGGCATACAAGCAATCAGAGAATGCATATCCCTAAGGATTTCCTTAAAAAATAATTGAGCACCCAACATATTAAGCTATTGGTTGTGTTGGAACATATTTATGCACAATTAACCCATTATCAACCAAATTTCTAATGTATCGCATGCTAGTACGTTTAAGGGAAAGTCGAACAGAATATTCGGAAACATTAAGCGCACAAGTAAGGTCAAAGAACAGGTCAATGGCTTGCACCATAACAGGTAAGCTTTGATGTATCATAGTGAAGTTTTGCATTCTAGCGTTGCTAGTGTCGGATTTAGGCATGTCTTCTGACCTGTCCTCTCAGTTTATTCAGCTTTTGGCTGCGGCTTGGAATTGTAATTTGCACATTTGTGCGTTTTGATCTATAAAATTCTCTATCGTTTCGGGGAAAAAAAATAGTGAAGTTTCATACTAAACCAATTGGTAGTAGGAGGATGAGCCCACTAGGCTTATAAGTTGAACTTATTTTTCTTATATAAATGATGTGGGACAACTCACAAGTGACATTATATTAAAATATGTCCCCTCATTTGTAAATCTTTTATACGAATTTCAAGCCCGACTAGGCCGGGAAACAGAAACATGTGCGTTCTCATGTACGTGAAACGCACATAAGAAGGTATGCCTAGGTGCACCATAGTGAGGTTTCATCTTAAAACTAATTGACGGTAAGAGAAGTAACTCACTAATTTATAAGTTAAGCATATTTTCTCTGTATAGACGATGTGAGACAATAATACAACTCACAAGTAATATTATATTTTAATAATAACTATTATTTATTATTTATCCATACATCGCACGAGCAACTCACGACCCGAGCAAAGTATGCATTAGTGATTGTCCGAGTGATTTCTAGATGCATTGAACGGGGTGCTACTTTTTAATCCGCTTTTTTTCGCCCATAATTATTTGTGCTTACTTTATTCATAAATCTATCATTATTTTGTTTTTAACTCTGTAAATACGCAAATTCCATTATAGAAAAAAAAAATAATAATAATAAAGAATAAACGAGAAAATTATCCAACTAACTAGGTGAGGTGGTGCTCGGGTTTGAGATTCAAGGAATAATCCTAATTTCATCTCTATTCTTCAATTCTCATCAAGCTATAAATTTGTTTTGGTAAACAAATGAACACACTAAGATATTGTTAAGCAAGTTTGAAAATTTTTAATATATATGCATAATTTGAAAATAAAATGTCATATACAAATGAAATGAACAAAAATATGAGCATAAATATATATTTTAAAATAAGATATAACAAAGAGAAATGCTACAATCTTGCTACGGAACCATTCCGTCGAGATTTATAACCGTTATATTATTATGT